TATTATTATTATTATTATTATTATTTTTAAAGCTTTTAGAGCACCATTCAATGACTTGTTGGCCTAGGTTTTCCTATTCATAACCATACAGCAAGGAACCACAGTTGTCCTTGGAGGGAATCAAAAGAATCTGGTTCCCACCGACCACTCTTCTCTGCCACATGGATAACTTTTCCCCAGAATGGAATCTTTTTAACTGGAGCTACATCTATTAGGATTCAGAAGACAAATAATGGGGAAAAAACAAACAAAACAAAAAACCCAACAAAAATGAAGCATGAAGTTTGAGGAATTTGTTAGAAAGGACATAGGAATGGGAGGTATTTCTCAAAGTGGAACAGAATGTTTATGTTGCCTACACCACCATCAACATTTATTGGGAGGTGGAAAGCTTCTGATGATGATCTGAATAGACAAGCTTTATTACTGGATATCGTGCTTCACTGGGCACCAGGAAATCTTTTGAGTTTGCCCAAAGTAGTAGGCAGTGGTTAGTGGCACTTGAGGTACAAGTTCTTCAAATAAGTAGTTTTACTGTTAGCAAAATGAAAGACTTCAGAGATTAATTCTTTCCTCTCTTTCTCCACGTTTTAAAACTATAAATATGAGGCACCTCCATACCTCATTAAGTTGTTAGAATAGGAAGTGCATTACAATTTGCTACCCAGGGCATGCTAGACTGCAGGACTGCTGTACTACAACTGTTTTTGAGGTAAGACAATAATTCACATGTAATTGGACAGATGACATGAACAGGATGAGAATAATAAGGCCTGAGAAGATCAGATTAGTGATTATGATCACACTTTTGAAGGCAGTCAGAATACAGGAGAGCAAGTCTCTGATTTTTGTGATGAAACAGGAGAAAAAACAAACAAAACACCTCACTTACAAATGCTATAGGAATACACCTTACTATTACTTGCCAACACTATACCCTCTGGTACTCCCTATTTCAGGAAAGGAGTAAAACACCTATCTGGAAAACAGGAAAAAGGTAACCCTACCTTTCAGTGACAGGGCTCTTTCTGAGCACCAAAATAAAATTTCAGTCACTTTGAAGGTTTTGGTGCCATATACAAATAATTACATGTATATAGAAACTGATGTTCTTTCCCTGTTATCAAAGCCTGTTCCTTCCTGCACTGTTTCAATAGATTTGAACTGAGAAAAAGGCAACCTTGATAAAGGAATTACTGATAAAAAAGCAGGCTTTATTCACTAGTGCAAAAAAAATCTCCTAAGCTTTGGAATAAATTAACATTTTGATAATGAAAGTTTATTTGATAATAGAACTACAGATTCAGTTCTAGTCAAGATATGAAAATAAGACATGATAAATGCATATGCACTAAGAGCAGAGAGACAGCATCGAAGCTCACTGTCAGGGAGAGCAGGAAAGAGCTTCTATGGGAGAGATGGAAAAGAAGACAGGAAAGAACGGGCGGAGATCTTTATCTGGCACACTCACTGCTGTATTCTTGCCAAAGGTGGTAGCTATTTTGATCACACAGTAGGTGAGATAGCAAGAATATGAAAAGGATACTAACCCTCATAAACACAAGTTGATGGCAGACAGTCTCAAATGGGGAAGAAAATACCATTATTTATCACAGCATACATAGTATCAATTACTTAATTAGGGCTAATGGTTCTGCTCACCATCCCTTCTGCAGCGCTTCTGAGAGCCTACACATGTTTAGGAATAGACATCTGTCTGGGCTTTGGGATGGTAACTGTCTGTCTGAACCATCTTTATAAGGATTCAGGCACCTGTGTATTGTAGGTGTCCAGACTGGCACAATTCTGTATGAGAAGTCATCAAGTGCATGATCCTCAGCATCCTCTTGATTATCAGCCATAGCCAAGATGAAGCTCTGGCATGCCCTACTGCTGTCCTGTAGAGCTCATCAAAAGGGCACATGATTTAAACTCTGCCAACTGTCCCAGTTTTGAACAGTTCTTTTCTTGAGAGCCATCTTCCTATGTTTTGTCCTAATATAACACAGTACAACATTCTTGTTCCCTCCTAAGTAGTATCCCTATCGCTTTCCATCAGAACATCTATCTGTGTCTTGTTTTAGGAGTCCCCGTAACTTTGCTGTTATCTCTCCTGAGGGCAGTGAACTAAATCTGACTTGACTGCATGTCAGCACTGAAACATGGAAATAGCTCCCAGTCTCTAGTCCCGCTCCTTGGGACAGGACGCAATGTAGAAGGAAGATGGGTAACTGTCAACATACAGCTTGTAGCATGATGTGACTACAAAAAATGTAACTGTAATTTCCTGGAAGGTGAAATTACTAACAATTCCAGTAAGGCAAAATCACACAGCAGTACACACACTCACATGAATTTCAGATTTTAAAACTTTGCCAAACATTTCTATCAGTACATACAGTTTATGATAGTTACTAAAATTGTAACTATAATCAGGGAGCACAGGATGAAAGAAGACTGCCTATTTGTCCAAAGCTGGAAAAGCCTCAAAGCTCTTAGCCTGAAACATTCCACTTTTTTTGCAAGTGCAAGAAAAACAAAATTAAAGTAGAAGATAAACAAGAAGAAGCTACCTGACATCATCTTGTCTAGGAAAAAAAAAAAAAAAAATCTGTTATGTCAGTTCTAATCCAGTTATGTCAAACTCCTCCTATTGGCTGAGAATTTTAATAGATACCTCAATAAAATCTGAGAAAGGAGATCAGACAGCTTGTTCTATTGGCAAAGGCTAGAACAGCTGGAAAGGAAGAGAAAGTCTTCATAACTTTGTTCTGGAAGAAAGAATTGACAGAAATGGCTTTGAAGTATAAAAATGTGAAGAATATTTTCAGGATATGTAAAGACAACTCTGTTGCCAATTTTGACCTAAACATTTCTTTAGCAAATAGAGAGACAATTTAGCTTCAGGATAGGATGGTTATTCCACTGAGGTGACACATTCTGGGGTAGTTTTGAGGGGGTTTTTTTGTTTGTTGTTTTGTTTTGTTTGGGTTTTTTTTCAGTCAAGCAAAACAAATGAGCATAATGTATTGTTCCCATCTCCACATACTTGCAAAAACACTAGGAAAGTTCATGGGGGGGGGAAAAAAAGATACAAAGTGTATAAGGTATAATGGTTTACAGCTCCTCTCAGGAGCTGATAGAATTGAACCAAGCTTGAATTGTGGACTTGTCCAAATTACAGGAAAGAGTAACCAGTTTCTATAGACACAATCATTATTAGGAATGAATGCTAGGCATACCATCACAACTTCATGTGAATCACTACATTAAAAGAATCACAGTTGAAAGTGAATTACTAAATCAAGATAATTAAGTCATGGAAAAACAAACCATACAATAGACAGTCAAAAGATGATTGCAGAGAACGTGTATGAAGTCCTCCCTCTTTTTACAGCTGTCAGAGTTTAGTAGCTTAGTTGTAGTGCATACATGATAGCACTATCTAACACAGTATGTATGTATTGAAACCAATTGCCTTTCCTGTAATTTGGAGAACAATGCTATTCAAGATCACTTCAGCTCCTGGAAGACTATAAAAGGAGATACTCCTCATTCAAATAAGTGTGTCACTGTATATAAAATTGTTTCAAATACTTAAAGGAAGCTGTAGCAGATTTCAGCTAATAGACAATGCCTTGTTATCCAAAGATTATTTCTTTATGTACCCTTTGTGTTCTTATCCAAGATGATTAGGGAAAGTTAGATAAAGTATATTATATTGTGTATGGAATGTACTAAAATAGCCAGCTGTCAATTTCTAATAATTTTTTCTCCAAAAAACCACAACTCCAAAAAAGACAAAGCCTTCTTCATAAGTCTTTATATTGTGGTAAGAGAATACGGTGGGGAAAAAAAAAACCAACAAACAATAATAGAAAAATGCAATTCATGCTGAAAGGAACTACTATAGTCTCAATTGATTGTGCTTCTTCAGTCATGAAAAGCTGATGTATTTTTGAAAAACAACTTCTTTTTAGAAGGATTTGGGGAAACATTATGCCAGTGCACAACAAAATACTAATAATAAAAAAATTGATCCCAACTTCATTACTTGAACTGCTAAGAAGCTGGATACAACTAAGAAAGGAAAGCTTATTTTTCTCCCTATAAGAGAAATACACTTTGTTTACAATAATCAGCAAAAAAAATAAGATTCCTCTGTTCACTGTTGAGATCAATGAATCTTTAAAGAACCAATCTTTAAGAGTCTTACCTCAGCTGTGGAAACGAAGGAGTCCGTTGATGCAATGCTTAACGTATCTCGAAGGCAGAAATCATCCATATTATCCTTTACAGTACTGTCTGTATTTTTATCTTTAAAATTAAAAAAATAACACCCAAACAACTGATTATTAGACTATTAGAAAATTCCATTTAAGTCTTGAAAGTGTGTTCCATGTATACTTTAATGTAGTACTCCATTTGGAAAGCACAACATTGTACTGCTATGAGAGCAAATTAATAAATTCTCTAATATATATATAACATATATGAAGTTGACCGTACTTTTCTGTCTTTAAAGTGGACTTACAAATATCATCTGCAATGAAGAGAGAAAAGAAAAAAAAAAATATTTCCCCAGGGGTTTTGCCTTTTCTTTAATAGACTTCTGAAGACCTCTCTATCTGAAGATATTACTTTGCTATATATCTAAATCCTCTGTTAAGTTTCTAACTTGGCTGGGTTATATAACAAATGCTCAGTGTTTTAGTAACCAAGAAATACTGTTCTAAATAAAAGCCATTAATAAAAAACAGGTTTCAGCTTCACTTGCATTCATTTCATTTTCTACTTCTCATGTCTTTTTTCACTGGTTGGCTCTTCAGGAGAACAAGTGAAGTTTTAAAATCTTCTCTGTATCCTTTCCCCAACAAGATTTTCCATTGAAATAACACATCTAGAAGCTTTTCCTATAGTACTAGAATTCTTAGGATCTTTAAAATAACTGCAATCATCTGCAATACAGCTTCCCTTTATATTTTTTCTCAGATTTCAACTGTTGTACACAGTACTATAGCATACATGGTTTTGTTTTTACCATACAGAAACACTTTCACAAAAGGATTGAATCCTAAGTCAGTAAGTCAGACTTTGGCTTGATGTGCCCCATACTACATTCTCAGTAGAGCACAGGCATTTATTTTGGGTTACTTTACCTTCAGACATTACACATGTGTTGCTAAAAGTCTGTTTTATTTCCAACAGTCAGCAGCAACCAGCTACTCAATGTCATCCAGATTTGTTGCTATGGCAATACTTCATAAAAAACACTATTACACAGCAAAGTGGCCAAATGCCAATACACTGGAATGGTTTACTCATCAATTGAAATGCTACAAATCCACATAACTATTATTTTGGTGGTTGTTATGGTTTTATTAATTACAGACTTGGAATGACAGCTAAAAAATTGCACATAACCATAAATATCTGTCTTAGAGAATATTCACTGAGGGAAAAAAGTATTACAAGTTTGGACAAAGATTTTACTAGATTAAGTTAGGCAGATTCCAACTTGTAATCACAACTTCACCAATATTCATATGAAAGTCTATGATTTTTTCAGATGATTCTTAATAGTTTATTCTTTTTTCTGACCTCTTAAAACCAAGAGGAAAAATACAGCAGCATCCAAGTTGGTTGAGAAACAATCACATACTGGAATTTGAAAAGCTGGAACAGAAAACCAAACTGTGGTTTGTAAAGCACTTGCTTGAGGTCCAGTAAGAGCAGGCAGGTACATGATGTTTCCTTCTTATTTCTAGCTCATAATTTGCATTAATCCCCCTCTAATATTACATTAAATGCTTTTTCTAATATCACTTTTTCACATAAGCAGTTGCTGAAACTGCGATAATACTGTTAAACATAGGGTAGTACAGAGATGTGCAGCCTGTTTGTAGATTTTTCCACAGAACCTCTCCTTTTGCCTAAGGTGTTTTCCATAAGATATTTGCAATTAAAACAAAAATTTCTGTATCTCACAGTTAGACAAGCCCTCTAGCACCTGGTTCAAGTGCAATCCAAAGAAATATTATCCTGATCATCCCAGTCTGTGGACAACATGTAACACTTGCTTTGTGAGAAACAGATATATTTATAAGTAGCAATGCAAATTACAAACTCCTGTAAGAGTAAAGCATAGACCATACTGATAAAGATCCTACTGATAGCTTTAATGAAGATGTTAAGGTAACAACTCTTATGCCCACAAAGTGCAGCTGTCAAGTAGTCTCATATATCAATTTATTCATAATCCCAGAATGTCTCCACCACCCTCACAGGGAAGTCCCAGCTATAAGACGGACTAAAGCCTCAAAGCCTTTGGATATTGTCTGATAGTTACTATGCTGTTGCTGTTCTATGTTCTACCTCAATGACAACAACATATCCCCAAACTGACACTGAAGTATTTAACACTGGGCTAAGTGATTGTTTATATATAAATCAGAATAAAGCTATCTAACTAAAATTCATTATGCATATATGTAAAAAATAATTGGTGTAAATGAAGGAACCACAGTTTCCAGCCCAGAATACCACAGAATCAGTGGTTCTTCTGTAGAGTTTGCATCCAGCCTGCTACAGATTACATGAAGCTCTAGAGTTAATAAGATTTTGAATACATGTATATTTGCTGAAGAAGTAATAACTCCAAGTTTTCTAATATAGGCCTGAAACTGTCACCTAGCCAGTATGTTTTTAGCATGTCAGTTGAATATGGAATATCTGTGTTTCACTCAAAGAAAATTCTCACTACTACCAAAAAAGGCACAAAATTTGCATGCTTTGACAAAAAAAAAAATTTAAAAGGGTTGGTAATGCTGACTGAAATAATACCTTTTGCAAGTGATATGTGCATACGAAGCACAGCCTCCCCAAAGAAAACAAAACAGCCTTGTCAACTATTTTTACTTTCTGGCCACCACCACCCTGAAGTACTCTTAGCCAAGCAGGTGCCTATCAATACCCATGCTGTGGGGAGAGTGCACTACTATGAAAACATTAGGGTGAAAATTAAGTTACAGCTGGAGTACATACCATGCAAGCACCAGGAGAACATTCTTAGACACAAGAACATGAAAAAAAGAAAGAGCCAGCAGCACAATGAGACTCCTGGAATGAACAGCTGCAAGAGGAACCCACCCACCAGCGGCTGCAACTGCTCATACAGTCATCCCTAGTTCTTATGTAGACTAATACCTTCAGGAAAGGAATACCAGCAAGTATGTGAGCTTCAAATATACTTACTTATTTGAGAAGCCAGGGAGCTATTTTGGGTCTATTTATATTTGTAAAGAGGATAAAGTAGTTTAAAACATGACACTGACAACAGTAATTGCCATCAAGACTCCTGGTTGTAGTACCTTAATTAGATCAAGAATATTTAAAAAATACTAAGAATATGGAGTATTGCTAAAGTTTGTGAAATTAATCCTAGCTTTATAGGATTTTGCAAACAACTATTTATTTGAAACTAAGCAGGATAAAAAAATCCTAAGAAACTAGAACAAAACTACTTTCACATCTATTCACAGAGTACTAATCAGGAATATTTATTTGTCTTTGCTCTGGTAGGTTTGTGTGGCAAGACAAACCACAAAACCAACCCTCTAAACTCTCAGAGCAAAATCTGACCTTAGAGATAGAACGGCACACAAATTCACTTTTTAGCATTCAATTGGGAAGCATTCACTGTCAAATAACGTTTTAAAATTCTGAAAACTGTCTGTATGTTATCTTCCCTCCAACTCTGAATGAAACATGGCATGAGAATGCAAGTGAGTTTAGCACTTACGTGCAGCAGTTAAAAAAGGAAAGCACGTACCCCCTGGCAAAGAACTCACTGAGAGTTAAGGAATTCAGTTCTGACTGCCATCCCTTAAAGCCATGGTTTCCTATTTTCCCCAGCCCTCCCACTTCACTGGAACATCAGTCCAGTAATACATCACGAGCAGGAAAGTAGGATGAGGAAGGAGAGTCTTGAAAGACTCCGAAGAGGAGAAAATTTTGCAAAGGAATCCACTTATGACAAGTCCGGGTCCCCCAAGAGCAGCAGGGTCCCAGTATTCTGCCAGGCTACCACACAGACAGTCAATGTGTTCTGTGCTAGTCAGGCCCCTTAGATGTGTGGCTTCATGCCTGGACAAAGGAATGACAATAATCAAGTTCAGAGAGCACAGAAGCATGATTTACTACATAATTCAGTTTCAAGAAAATGTGCCACAGTCTTCTAGCTGGTCACAAGCGCACGGTGGTTTGTCACCACTGCTGCTGAAGCATCCAAAAGCAGTTTCATTTCCATTTATAAACAGTCATAACTCTGAGAGTGTTGACTGAATAGTCATTAAAAAATCATCAGTCCTACCAAGTAGCTGCTAATGTATCATATCAAGTCTTACAGGATACACCTAGAAAGCAGCCAATTTTACTTTATATTGTCTTTATAAAAATAAAACAATCCCAACCTTCAGATAGCACCTTCTGATGACTAGGTCATATAGCAACAGGTTAAAAAAGGCAAGCCAAGAATGGAGCAGGGTGCCCACACAGACCATTCTGGATTTAGGAGTTATTGTTAAATTATGTGTTTACATTCACCAATAATGCAAATATCTGGGTTCAAGAAAGTGCCTACAGCTGGAGGCATCTCATCTCACTGTATATAAACATATATATAATTGTTTCCAAGTACAGCTATAATCTTCAAGGTCCACATAAAAGCCTTCCACTACAGTATTCACAAAGGTATAAAAAAGTCAATTTTCCAAGACATTGGGTGTCCAACTAATTATCATTATGCAAAACACAAGATGATGCTTGATATAAATAAGTAGAGAATGCATACAAAAACTGAAGAGTAGAACCCATTAAGTTTACATACATAGGCACTAAAATCCACCTGAAAACTGATTTGTCATCTGCAAAAGATGCAACTTGCCTGAAATAACCTTACAATCTTCAAGGGAATTTCCACATACTCTGGAAAAAACCAATAGCAATTTCCATGACGCTTTTAATAATTTGGTTATTTTCAGGCCTTCAGGATATTGAGTTTGTCCATAAAGTTCTATTATCTGCCGAGGACCACATGTCTAATGATGTGTAAAACAAAACAACATGGCTCCTGCTCTTATATTCTAAAACAGTAAAATCAAACACCTTGAATACTCTCATCTAGCAAAGGTAAAGACAGCACAAAATGCATGTGCATAAGTAATTATTTTAGTCTCTCAAGTAAATACCAAATATAGCTAAGAAAGGAATTTAAGTATAATTTCCTGTAATCCATAGACACAGGTATATTAAATAAC